TGCCCCTGTTCATTATTAAATTGGTTACAAGATACATTAAAGAGAGACTAGATTTCCCTCCCTTCTCTCTCTCTCTCTCTCTCTCTCTCTCTCTCTCTCTCTCTCTCTCTCTCTCTCTCTCTCTCGGTACTGGTGTGCAGCCCTTGTTCCTGTGTGTTATATTTTATAAGGTTCCAGAGTGTACATGCTCCCGAGAAGCTGGGAGTGAGAAGGTGTCTACGTTTGTGTATTTGTTTCTATATGTGTGTGTGTGTGTGTGTGTGTGTGTGTGTGTGTGTGTGTGTGTGTGTGTGTGTGTGTGTGTGTGTGTGTGTGTGTGTGTGTGTGTGTGTGTGTTACTCCCTCTGAGTTCACATGAATAACTCAGACAACTTTGTTTCCTTTGACAAGTATACAGGACTTGCACTGATGTCTCCTTGATGTCGAGGAGCCTCTTGTGTACCTCTGTGGTCTTCACCTGAGCTAGAGTGACGTTCACAACACAAATGCATCAGCTAATAGTTATACCCGATTCAGTTAACGATGTTATTTACAATAGTAGTTCAGAGATAAACTATTGTTGTTTATTTCCCCGTAGACAGCCAATCCCGGTCGATTCTTGCTACAGGTGACAATAAAAAACCGTCGAGAAATTGTTCCTTTCTCCTGACCAGATGACACACATTATGCAACGTCTGTCCGTGAGTTGTTGAATCGATAATGAGGTGGTTTCTGATGGTCTTTCATCTCCCAGTTAGTTTTTCGATCCTTGATAACTGGGATATCATTCGAACAAAAGGAGTCTGGTTAATTTTAGAGACTTGCAATACCTGACTGGCAGAGAATAAACTCGAATACTTCATTCTCTTTTTTTTTTCCACCCCAACTCTTTCAACAAGTGCCGCCCTCCAATCAAACTCGGATAAATTAGCTGTCTGGTCGTATCGTGTAAAAATTCCCTTACATTTCACGTACTCGTTTCTTTCAGTTGCTTTCCATTTTTTTTAAACATTATCGATATCCTCGTTAAAAGCAAATTTACTTCCTAGTTCGGATACCCTAATGCACTAACTCACATATCAAAAGTCTGATCTCATTTTTTTTTTCTGAGGTCTTAATGCAGATACAACTTCCAGCAAAATGCAACAGCCATGTCTCACAATTTGAGGTATTTTAAATGCACGAGCGACGAGGCTTTACATTCACCAGTCTCGTCCTTGGAGACTTAGTTCACGTCGATAACATTTTTGTGGAAAATCTTGGCGATGGTTGTGGATTGGGGTAGTGGTGGTGGAGTTGGGTGGTGGAGATGGATTCGTGGTGGTGGTGGTGGTGGTGAGAGTTGAGTCTTTACGGCCACAGTTTCTTTCTCCTACACATAATACACACATAGTAGACTCACAAATACTCGGCAACGTAAACAGATCAAACGTGATAGGAGACGTTCGTGGTAGGGATTGGTGTTGGTGGCGGTAAGGAATGTTGGTGGTAGGGGTTGGTGGTGGTTGTGGTAAAGGGTGGTGGTGGTGGTTGTGGTAAAGGGTGGTGGTGGCTGTGGTAAAGGCTGGTGGTGGTGGTGGTAAGGAGTGTTGATGGTGGTAGGGGATGTGGTGGTAGGGGATGGTAGTTGTGGTTATATGGGATGGTGGTGAGAAGGGTGACACCTATTACCCTTCCAATTAGCTGAGTATAGAGTAGGATTATGTTATTGGATAGTTAAGATACAAAAAGATTAATAAAATATATAATAAAATATGTATATTGATGTAAGAGAAAGAGAATAATACTTATACCTTTATAGATACATAAATAAAGACACAGGTGGACATTTACCCGTTCACCTATACTCAGACAAAGCAAACATACAATCGCAACTCCCAGTAAGAGAATTTTCCTCCCTAGCACTCGCAGTGTTTCCAGACCCCGGTATTCCCTGACTACAATGGATCGCCGTGGCGGTATCACGCACAAGCCCAACTTGTACGGCTTAGTGCACTCATGGACGAATTCGGTCGCTGAAATCCAAATGAAAATTGACTCTAAAAACCACCAACATCCTTTATTTCGTTACGCTATAGTGGTTGGGCGAGACTGTTCATCCTGGGAAGTGGCAAAGTCAACTGTGTTCTCTATACTGAGGCCAAGTGACTGTATGAGAGGAAAAGGGGTATTTTTTCTCTAGTATGATCAACATTTTTATAGCAACAATAAGTTAGAATAATATAATAATAATGTTTTACTCTTGAACTATCGATTACATGAAAAGAGTAAATATAGTGAGAACATTTTGTGGTGATATTATTTTTTGTTATATCGAGAGAGTAAATATGGCGACAAATTACTGAGGCTATATATTTTTTCCTAGTTTTTTATTCATTTATTCGTGTATGTTTGTCTTTTTTTTCATCAATTCTATTTTATTGATGTACCCGTTTGTGATATTGTCCCCGTGGGTGTGTGTGTGTGTGTGTTTGTGTGCGTGCGTGTATGTGTGTGTATGTGTTCCTCTTGTTCACCCAGCCATGGATCGAACATCAAACGAATAGTTAAATTAAACGAATTTACGTAAAAGGGGAAAATAACTGGGAAGGAGAGAACCAATTTCCACCATCGAACACCCAATTTCTATATTCAAAATGTATCAAAATAATAGATATAATCCGAGCACCGAATATGTCCTCAACTATGACTTAATTAATCCCTATTTCAGCTTAATAAATTCCCATCCAGGCCTGTTAAATCCCTACGCTGGCCTTACATATCTCTCCTAGTCTAGCCTGATGAATCCCCTACTCCTGCCTGAAGTGTAACAGAGCCGCCTCGGACAGTGGAGAGCTCTGGACAAATCACCCAGCTGAACGTAAACAAATATGGTAGTAAGCGGCAGTACTTAAGCGACTCTGCCTGACAGCTTTAAGCACAGGTGGAGGGACGAGGCCCGGTACCTACCCAGAGAACACCTGATATACAATTTCGTAAGTTATACAGGTAACTTAGATACTTTATAATCTCGTTATGATATTTCTACACCGGTTCTCCTGGGATAAAATGGACCTGTGTGTAACGTTATGATCGTCTCTCGTCCTTAGGCTAAATGCAACTTTTAAGTTGCGGACATTCATATAGTTTGCAATCTCATAAAAATTATGGATACGTTACATACAATTCACTGAGTATTAGTGTATGCATGTGTTAATATAGTCCTAAAAATTTACCTGGATATTAGTTAGATTTTAATGAATATGTAAATGAAAAACAAAACAAAATCTAAACAAAGTATATTTAAGCCCATCTTAATGACGAAGATTTTAATGAGTTTAAAAATAATTTTCGTGATGAAGGGGATTACTTAATAGATAGGCTGTCTGTCTGTCTGTCTGTTAGTATATCTTTATGTCTGTTCCAGTCATAGCTCTAAAACGGAAACAGTTGAGTGACCTGAAACTTTACGCATTCACTACCTCCCAGACACACACCTTCCCAGTCAAGAACACTGTTGAGTTTGACATTATTTAATAAAACAAGAAGAGCTATTCTTAACATTTCTGAATGACCTTTCACAGATGAATCAATTATGAGTCACGTAAACTATTCAGCAGAGGAGTAACAGAGAGAAGAGAGAGACAAAGGAAGAAAGTTGGACAAAGTTAACTACAGTCGAGTAGGTCAGGTCTTTAAGTCACTCACACTCATTTCTATTGTGACTTAAATATTAACGCACTATAGGACGCAATATTTTTACATTTAGAGACTGTATTGAGGGCAAGGATGACAATTAAATTATCTACACCTACACTGTATTGCACTTTTGGAATGTTTTTAATAATTTTCCCAAAAATCATCGAAAAGTATACAGCTCATTTCAGACGTCGCCTAAGAGTTTACTGTAATATTGCTTATTAAAAATATTACCATTTCTTATTGTTATATTGTATTATTTATTATATTATATCAATTAAATTGTTACATTATATTATATTATGTATTACGTATTTACTGCATAAACTTGACTGCCACAGTTTGTCGTCCCTGACGCGGGAAAACACCTCCAGCAGTCGCCGTGGCGATATCTCAGTCGAGGAATTTATTTGGTTCTAGCCCGGACCACCCGGGGGTCTGTGGTCAATAGCAATACTATATCAAAGTGCATAACCCTGGGACCCATGTAATATGTGCGTAAAGTTTTAGGTCTCTAACTGCTTCCGCTTTGGAGCTATGGCTAGAACAGACACACACACACATTCATAAGTAGACAAACACGTCCTTTTATTATTATAAATACTTTCCGTTTAAGTTAATCGCCAGGACAATTCGAATTTTTTTTTTCACAGTAACATATATGTTCCTTACTAAGATTATTCCAACGGAAAAGGTAATTTGATCCAACGTTTCCTTACCCCCTTTTAATTTTCATGTTTATTCGTAAATAGGAAATTTACTCCCTAAAATTGCACTTACTGTATATTTAAAAGCACTCTACAAATATAATGTTAAAATGGGCTTCAGTGGCCCTTGGGACCCACCCAGGTGCAGTGAGGACCTTCCAAGGGTATCTAGGGCCCCAGGAGCCTTCTCAGAGGCGACGGGGGCCCCTGTGACCCTCACAGGGGCAGCGGCGACCCTTCCAGTGGTGGTTGGGGCCGCTGGGACCATCCACGAGGCAGCAAAGACCCCTGAGACCCTCCCAGTTGCGGCTAGGACCCTCCCAAACGCGGCGGGAGCCCCTGGGACCTTCCCATGTGCGGCATTGGCCCTTGAGACACTCCCAGGTGCGTCGGGAATCCTTCAGGGAGCGGTGGGGGCCCCTGGCACACCCCCAAGCGTGGCGGGGAGTCCAGGGGTAGATGGAGGCCCCTGGAACACTTCCAGGTGTGGCGCATCTCTGGGACACTTCCAGGGGCGGATGGAGGTCTCTGGTAGTCTTACAGGGGTAGCGGTGCCATCTGGGAACCTCCCAGGGTAAGCGGCTTACTCTGCGACCCTCCAAGGGACGGTAGGGGCCTCAGGGGTGGCGGTTCCCCATGGAATCTCCCAGGGGCGACTGGGACTCCTTGGACCCTCTCATGGAAGGCGCCAGCCCCTGGGACACTCCAGGGGCCGTACTTCCAGGGGCACTGTAGCATACTTGGGCGTGATGTCGTACATATTACATACGTCCATCAATTCCTTACTTAAATGCGATTGGTGGACTAAAATGTATTCCAACCAAATTACAGCCAATAGGAGAAGAGAACAGTCAGTCAGCACAACACCCCAACTTATGTTTTCCTGCTGAATATTATTCTCCACTCCGTTTTAAAGAAGCGATAATACTGGAAATGTTATGATGGGCGTTGTAGTCGCATCTACCAGAGCTCTAAATATGACAAAAACAATTGCCCCCAGGCAACTTCCCAGAGGCGAAGGGGGCACCTGGGACCTTTCCACGTGCGGCAGGGACCCTCCCAGGGGAGGCGGAAGCCCCTGGGACACTCCAAGAGGCAGCAAGGCCTCCTGGGAACTTCCGAGAGGCAGCGTGGGACCAGCGACCTTCCCAGGTGCGGCAGGGACTCGTGGGATCCTCCCAAGGTCGGCGGAGCCCCTGCAACCCTCCCAGGTGCGGCTGGGGACCCCAGGGACCCTCACAGGGGTTGCAGGGTCCCTTGGGACCCACCCAGGTGCAGTGAGGACCCTCTAGGGGCACCGACGGCCCTAGGAGCCTTCTCAGAGGCGACGGGGGCCCCTGTGACCCTTCCGGAGTTGACCGTATTCCTCGTGACCCTCACAGGGGCAGCGGGAACTCTTCCAGGGGTGGTTGGGGCCGCTGGGACCCTCCAAGAGGCAGCGGAGGCCCCTGAAACCCTCCCATTTGCGGCTGGGACCCTCCCACACGCAGTGGCAGCCCCTGGGACCGTTCCATGTGCGGCATTGGCCCTTGGGACACTTTCAGGTGCGTCGTGAAACCTTCAGGAGGCGGTGGGGGCCCCTGGCACCCTCCCAAGGGTGGCGGGGAGTCCAGGGGCGAATGGAGGCCTCTGGTGGTTTTACAGGGGTGGTGGTGCCATCAGGGAACCTCCCAGGGTAAGTGGCTTCAACTGGGACCCTCCCAGGGACGGCAGGTGCACAGGGGCGGCGACTGGGGCTCTATGGACCCTCTCATGGGCTGCGCGGGCCCCTGGGACACTCCTACCCGGGGGGAGTCTCAGGAGCCCCCGCCGCTCCTGGGAGGGTCTCAGGAGCCCCTGTCGCCTCTATAAGCGTCCCAGGGGCCCTTGCTGCTTCAAGGTGTGTCCCAGGGGCCCCCGCCACACCTGGGAGTGTCCACGCTACACCTGGGAGGGTCCTTGGGGCCAATTGTTTTTGTGCTAATTAGAGCTCTAGTAGATGCGACTACAACGCCCATCATAACATTTCCAGTATTATCGCTTCCTTAAAAATGGAATTGAGAATAATATCCAGCAGGAAAACATAAGTTGGGGTGTTGTGCTGACTGACTGTTCAAAGGCCCCTAGGTGCCGTGCTGTTCCTGGGAGAGCTACTGAGGGTGCCGCAATCCCTGGGACAGCCCTTGGGAGCGCCACCGCCCCAATCAAGGCCCCTGGTGGTGCCACCATTTCTGGGAGGGCGTCTGAGGGCGCTGCCGTCCCTGGGAAGGCCTCTGGGGGCGTTGCCATCCCTGGAAGGGCCCATGGGTCGGCGCCAGCGCCCCTGGCAAGGCCTCTGAGGGTGCTACCATCTATGGCAAGGCCTTTAGGGGCGCCACCGCCCCTTGCAGGGCCCCTGAGGGCACCGACGTCCCTGGAAGGGCTCCTAGGGCGCCGCTGTCACTGGGAGAGACCCTGGGGGCACCGACATTCCTGGGAGGGCCTGTGGGAACGCCCTGGCTTGCGCCGCCTTCCTGCCAGGACCCCTGCTGGCGCTGCTGTCCTTGGGAGGACCCCCTGAGAGCGCCAATTTTTCTGGGAGAGCCCCTAGGGGAGCCCCTGGGACGGCATCTGGAAGCACTCCCGTACCTGGAAGGGCCCTGGTTGCAGTAGTTTTTGTGCTATTTAGAGCTCTGGGAGAAACAAGGTTAAATAATTACACTGCCGCCCATCACATTTCTTCCAGTATTATCGCATTCTGAAGAAGGTATTGGAGAATAATATCCAACAGGAAAACATAAGTTGTGGTGTTGTGCTGACTGACTGCTCTCTGCTCCTAGTGGCTGTTATTTGGTGGGTTAAAAGAATAGTCCACCTATCACAGTTAAGCAAGGGACTGCTGGAAGTATGTACTATATTGGACACGACGGATAAGCATGCTATAGAGGGCCTCTGGGGACCCTTGGTACAGTCCCTGTGGTAGGCATCGCCCCTGGGAGCTCCACTGTCCCTGGCATGGCCCTTGGGGAAACCACTGCATCTGAGAGGTCCCTGGGAGCATCGCTGTCCTTAGGAGAGCTTCTGGAAGCGCCACCGTCCCTGGCAGTGCCATTGGGAGGATCGCTGGCCCTGGGAGGGTCCCCGTGAGCGCCGCTGTCCCTGAGAGAGCCACTGGGGGCGACGGCGCCCCTGGCAGAGCCCCTGCCTATGCCAGCACCTCTAGCAGTGCCCCTGGGGGCGCCAACGTCTCTGGCAGGGCCCATGGAAGCGCTGCCATCCTTGGGAGAGCCCCGTGGGGGCTCCACCGCCCCTGGCAGGGCCCCAAGGGCGCCACCGCTCCTGCCTTGCGCCCTGGGAGCGCCGCCATCTTTGGGAAGGCCCATGGGGGCGCCGCTGTTCCTGAGAGCGCCACCGCCTCTATCAATGCCCCTGGGGGCGCCGTCGTTTCTGGGGGGCCCCCAAGGGTGCTGCCGTTCCTTGGTGGGCCCCTGGGGGCGACATTGTCCCAGGGAGAGCCCCTGGGGGCGCCAGCGCCCCTAATATGCCACCGTCCCTTGCAAGGCTCCTGGAGGTGCCGACGTCCCTGGGAGGACCTCTGGGGCGCCGCTGTTCCTGGGGGCGCCACCGTCCCTGGGAGGGCCTCTGGGGCGCCGCTGTTCCTGGGGACGCCACCGTCCCTGGGAGGGCCCCTGAGAGTGCTCCCATCCCTGGAAGGGCCTCTGGTTGCAGTAGTTTTTGCGCTATTTAGAGCTCTGGGAGAAGCAACATTATATAAATACACCGCCGCCCATCACATTTCTTCCAGTATTATCGCATCCTGTAGAAGGAAATGGAGAATATTATCCAACAGGAAAACATAAGTTGTGGTGTTGTGCTGACTGACTGCTCTCTGCTTCTATTGGCTGTTATTTGGTGGGTTAAAAGAATAGTCTACCAATCACAGTTAAATATGGGACTGTTAGAAATATTTAATATATTTGATATGACAGACAAGCATGCCATAGGGCCCCTGGTGACCTTACGAACTGTCCCTTGGGTCAGCGCAACCCCTGGAATCTCCGCTCTCCCTGGCATGACCCCTGGGGACACGCCGTCCCTGGGAGGGCTCCTAGGGCGCCGCTGTCACTGGGAGAGAACCTGCGGGCGCCGCCATCTCTGGGAGTGCCCCTGAGAGCACCAAATTTCCTGGGAGAGTCCCTAGGTGTGCCACCGTTCCTGGCACGGCATCTGGAAGCGCTCCCATACCTGGGAAGGCACCTGGTTGCAGTAATATTTGTGCTATCTAGAGCTCTTGGAGAAGCAACGTTAAATAAATACACTGCCGTCCATCACATTTCCAGTATCATCGCATTCTGATGAAGGTAATGGAGAATAATATCCAACAGAAAAACATAAGATGAGGTGTTGTGCTGACAGACTGCTCTCTGTTCCTATTGGCTGTAATTTGGTGGGTTAAGGGAATTGTCCACCAATCACAGTTAAGCAAGGGACTGTTGGAAATATGTAGTATATATATGGCACGACGGACAAGCGTGCCATAGGGCCCCTGGGGACCCTTGGTACAGTCCCTGGGGTCGGCACCGCCACTGGGAGGGTCCCTGGGAGCTTCCCTGGGGATGCCATTGTCCCTGCGAGGGCCCCTGGGAGCAAGCACCGTCCCTAGGACAGTCTCTGGGAGTGCCACCCTCCCTGGCAGTGTCACTGGGAGGATCGCTGGCTCTGGGAAGGCCCTCGTGATCGCTGTTGTCCCTGAGAGAGCCCCTGGGGGCGACGGCACCTCTGGCAGGGCCCCTGCCTATGCCAACACCTCTAGCAGTGCCCCTAGGATTGCCATCGCCTCTGGCAGGGCCCATCGAGGCGCTGTCATCCCTGGGAGGGCCGCTGGGGGCTCCACTGCGCCTGGCAGGGCCCCTGGGGGCGCCACCGCTCCTGCCAGGCCCCCTGGGAATCCCGCCATCTTTGGGAAGGCCCATGGGGGCGCCACTGTTCCTGGGAGTGCCACCGCCTCTGACAAGTCCCCTGGGGGCGTCGCCGCATCTGGGAAGGCCCCTGAGGGTGCTGCCGTTTCTGGGAGCGCTCCTTAGGGCGCTGCCATTCCTAGGAGGGCCCCTGTTGGCGACATTGTCCCAGGGAGAGCCCCTGGGGGCGCCAGAGCCCCTAATAGTGCCACCGTTCCCTTGCAGGGCCGTTGGAGGCGCTTACGTTCCTGGGAGGGCCTCTGGGGCGCCGCTGTTCCTGGGGGCGCCATCGTCCCTGGGAGGGCCCCTGAGAGTGCTCCCGTCCCTGGAAGGGCCTCTGGTTGCAGTAGTTTTTGCGCTATTTAGTGCTCTGGGAGAAGCAACATTAAATAAATACACCGCCGCCCATCACATTTCTACCAGTATTATCACATCCTGAAGAAGGTAATGGAGAATAATATCCAACAGGAAAGCATAAGTTGTGGTGTTGTGCTGACTGACTGCTTTCTGCTCCTATTGGATATTATTTGGTTCCTGGGAGGGCTCCTAGGATGCCGCCCTCACTGGGAGAGAACCTGCGGGCGCCGCCGTCCCTGGCACGGCATCTGGAAGTGCTCCCGTACCTGGGAAGGCACCTGGTTGCAGTAGTTTTTGCGCTATTTAGAGCTCTTGTAGAAGCAACGTTAATAAGTACACTGCCGCCCATCATATTTCCAGTATCATCGCATTCTGAAGAAGGTAATGGAGAATAATATCCAACAGGAAAACATAAGATAAGGTGTTGTGCTGACTGACTGCTCTCTGTTCCTATTGGCTGTAATTTGGTGGGTTAAAAGAATTGTCCACCAATCACAGCTAAGAAAGGGACTGTTGGAAATATGTACTATATAGGACACGGCGGACAAGCATGCCATACAGCCCCTGGGGACCCTTGGTACAGTCCCTGGGGTCGGCGCCGCCACTGGGAGGGACCCCATTGCAACTGGGAGGGTCTCAGGGGCTCCTGCTACCTCTTGGAGGGTCCCAGCGGCCCCAACCACCCCTGGAAGGGTCCTCGCTGCCCCTGTGAGGGTCATAGAGGCTCCGGTAGCCCCCAGAAGGGTCACAGGGGCCACTGGAGGGTCTGCACTGCACCTGGGTGGGTCCCAAGGACCACCGGAGCCCCTGTGAGGGTGCCGGGGGTCCCCAGCCGCCCCTTGGAGGGTTGCAGAGGCCACGCTGACCTTGGGAGGATCCCAGGAGCCCCTGCGGCAGCAGGGAAGGTCGCGGAGCCCATGCCACCTATAGGAGGTTCCCAGGAGCCCTTGGTGGCTCTTGGGGTGTCCGAGGGGCCCCCACTACACCTGGGAGTGTCCACACTACACCTGGGAGGGTCCTTGGGGCCAATTGTTTTTGTGCTAATTAGAGCTCTGGTAGATGCGACTACAACGCCCATCATAACATTTCCAGTATTATCGCTTCCTTAAAAATGGAATTGAGAATAATATCCAGCAGGAAAACATAAGTTGGGGTGTTGTGCTGACTGACTGTTCTCTTCTCCTATTGGCAGTAATTTGGTGGGTATACATTTTATTCCACCAATCTCATTTAAGTAAGGAATTGGTGGACGTATGTAATATATACGACTTCACGACCAATTATGCTGTAGTGCCCCTGAAAGTACGGCCCCTGGAGTGTCCCAGGGGCCTGCATCGCCCATGAGAGGGTCCAAGGAGCCCCATTCGCCCCTGGGAGATTCCATGGGGATCCCACAGCCCCCGGGCCCCCTGCCGTCCCTGGGAGGGTCCCAGAGGAAGTCGCTTACCCTGGGAGGTTCCCTGATGGCACTGCCATCCCTGTAAAACTTTCACGGGCCTCCACCCGCCCATGGAAGTGTCCCAGAGATCCCCGCCACTCCTGGGAAGGTCCCAGGGACCCCCACCACACCCTGGAGGGCTCGCGACGCACCTGGAAGTCTTCCAAGGGCCTCCATCTACCCCTGGACACGCCGCCACCCTTGGGAGTGTGCCAGGGGCCCTCACCGCTCCCTGAAGGGTTTTCGACGCACCTGGGAGTGTCCCAAGGGCCAATGCCGCACATGGTAAGGTCCCAGGGGCTCCCGCTGCGTCTGGGAGGCTCCCTGTCACACCTGGCCGGGAGCCTGGGGGCAGTTGTTTTTGTGCTATTTAGAGCTCTGGTAGATGCGACTACAACGCCCATCAAAACTTTTCCAATAATATGGCATCCTTAACAACGGAGTGGAGAATAATATCCAGCAGGAAAACATAAGTTGGGGTGTTGTGGTGACTGGCTGTTCTCTCCTCCGATTGGCTGTATTTGGTGTGTATGCATTTTAGTCCACCAATCACATTTAAGGAAGTAATTGATTGACGTAAGTAATATGTACAACACCACGACCATGTATGATTAACGGCCCCTGGAAGTGCAGCCACTGAAGGGTCCCAGGGGTCTCCATTTCCTTTGGGAGGGTCCTTGGAGCTCGCGAAGCCCTTGAGATGGTACCAGGGCCCCAGTCGCCCTTGGGAGGTTCCATGGGGACTATGCAGCTCCTGGGAATGTTCCAGGGGCCCTAGATGTCCCTGGGAGGCTTCCAGGGGCTTCCACCGCATCTGGGACGGTCCCCGCCGCCTCTTGGAGGGTCCCAGAAAAACCCACCCGCCACTGGGAGAGTCCCTGGGGTCCCCGCTGCCCCTGCAAGGGTCACTAGGGCTCCCGCCGCTCCCGGGAGGATCCCATGGGCCCCAGTCGCCTCTAGGAGTGTGCCTAGGGTCCTCGAAGCCCCTGAGAGGATTCTCACCGCACCTGGGTGGGTCCCAGGAGCCACGGCCGCCCCTGCAAGGGTCACTGGGATCCCCAGAAGCCCCTGGGAAGGTCGCAGCTGCCCCACCAACCCGGGTAGGGTCTCAGGAGCCTTCGCCGCACCTGGAAAGTCTCAGGGGCTTTCGCCGTATCTGGGACGGTCCTCGCCGCTGCTTGGAGGGTCCCAGTGCTCCCAACCACCTCTGGGTGGGTCCCTGGGATCCCAGCTACCCCTGCAAGGGTCACAGAGGCTCCCGTCGCTCCCGGGAGGGTCACAGGTGCCCCCGTCATCTGTGGGAGGGTGCCTGGGGCCCTGGATGCCCCTGAGAAGGTCTCTGGCGTCCCCAGCACCCAATGGGAGGTTCGCAGGGGCCACGTCGATCCTGGGAGGATCCCAGGAGACCTCGCTGTACCTGGGAAGGTTTCAGGGGCCTCTGTCGCCTCTATAAGCGGCCTATGGGTTCCTGATGCTTCTGGGAGTGTCACAGAGGCCCTTGCCACCCGTGGGAGTGTCCCTGCCGCACCTTGGAAGGGCCCAGGGGCTCCCATCGCCTCTGGGAGGGTACCTGGAGCCCTCGACGCCCCTGAGAGGATCCTCACCGCGCCAAGGTTGGTCCCTGGCACGGCATGTGGAAGCGCTCCCATACCTAGGAGGGCACCTGGTTGCAGTAGATTTTGCGCTATTTAGAGCTCTTGGAGAAGCAACGTTAAATAAATAAATACACTGCCGCCCATCACATTTCCAGTATCATCGCATTCAGATGAAGGTAATGGAGAATAATATCCAACAGGAAAACATAAGATGAGGTGTTGTGCTGACTGACTGCTCTCTGTTCCTATTGGCTGTAATTTGGTGGGTTAAAAAAATTGTCCACCAATCACAGTTAAGTAAGGGACTGTTGGAAATATGTACTATATAAATGACACGACGGACAAGTATGCCATAGGGCCCCTGGGGACCCTTGGTACAGTCCCTGGAGTCGGCGCCGCCACTGGGAGGGTTCCTGGGAGCTCCTCTGGGGATGCCATTGTCCCTGCGAGGGCCCCTGGGAGCAAGCACTGTCCATAGGACAGTCTGTGGGAGCGCCACCCTCCGTGGCAGTGCCACTGTGAGGATCGCTGGCTCTGGGAGGGTCCTCGTGATCGCTGCTGTCCCTGAGAGAGCCCCTGGGGGCGACGGCACCCCTGGCAGGGCCCCTGCCTATGCCATCACCTCTAGCAGTGCCCCTGGGGTCGCCATCGCCTCTGGCAGGGCCCATGGAGGCGCTGCCGTCCCTGGGAGGGCCGCTGGGGGCTCCACCGCCTCTGGCAGGGCCCCTGGGGGCGCCACCGCTCCTGCCAGGCCCCCTGGGAGCGCCGCCATCTTTGGGAAGGCCCATGGGAGCGCCGCTGTTCCTGGGAGCGCCACCACCTCTGGCAAGTCCCCCGGGGGCGCCGCCGCATCTGGGAAGGCCCCCGAGGGTGCTGCCGTTTCTGGGAGGGCCCCTTAGGGCGCTGCCGTTCCTAGGAGGGCCCCTGTTGGTGACATTGTCCCAGGGAGAGCCCCTGGGGGCGCCAGAGCCCCTAATAGTGCTACGGAGGAAGGCGTCGTGGCTGGGAACCTGACCCAGGAAGACCCTCAATAAATCATCAGTGTTTTTGGATCCACCAGGTTGTAAGATATGGACGGATAATCTGCTCCTACTGCAGGGTTCAGAATGCCTTCCTTCTTGAAGTGGCTCTCATCCATGTCCACTGTGGGCAAATAAATTTTTGTCATAACATAAGCCTAGATGGTTAGGTGTTTACAAATACTGTATACTCATGCAAAAGAAAAAACCGAGGAACAAAGAAAAATTTATAATCTCACCAAAATTTTCAGATTCCTTTAGCATGTATTTCTGCTGACATGGGACTTAAAGGTTTGTGGATGGTCCATACACTGTACAACAATCTATTTTCAAAGATTGCATTCACTGGCATCCACATATTACCAGAAGGTCCCATACACAATCAAATGCAATGCTAAAAGATACTCAGCATTAGATTTCAAATATTGTAACATACAGTGCATCACAAATACTAACAATGTTGATACCATACACTTCAAGTAAAATCTTTCAATTCATTGATAAAAACAGTATGAAAGCAACTGAGGACTTGAACACTTCTTATCTAAATCATAAAACTCACACAATAAATAATAAAAGAACAAAATAACTTTACATAACCTGTATACAACACTTCTGGCGATATACTGTACTCGTACTGCATCAGGAGTGAACCCCTTCAATCACCTAGTGCTCGGCAGGTACTGTACTTGCTTGCCATACACAATGTCTGAAAGTATCAAATGCATTAACAAATGTGATCACAACAATTATTATATTGGCATCATCACAGGAATACATCCAAGAATTTTACACTGGCAATAATATAACAATTCACGTAAGTACCTGTATAAACTTTCTGTAATCTCATACAAATGACACTCACAACAACAGGTAGCTTTTTCTCAAACTTAGAAAATATTAAGACTGGATTCTCACTAATTTACTGCATCATAAAACATGATTGCACTCAACTTATCAGTTCAAACAATTATTTGCCTTCTTTGATAATTATTGTTCTTACTCAACTTTCATGTAAACTTTGTATTTAAATCTTGTGTGAAATCTCATATACTGCACAATACAATTCACAAAACTGGTTTCGTAGCTTATTTCAATGACCCTGAACAACACTAAAAAAAATTAACTTCCCAAATATTGTCATCCCCCAAAAAACTTGCACACTCATAGGCTAGTGATAAGAGTGGTGAATTATGGGGTAGTAATAGGAGTGATGAGAGGAGAGTTCTTGTATACCAAGCGAACAGCGGCTGAGTCAGCAGGCGACATAATTAGGAGCAGGCGTGTACTGTTGAATTGGTTTGGCATATTTACCAGGGCCCCTGGACTTTAACATATGGCCAGTACCTCTCAACTGATTGCCCTAAACACACCCAAGACTTTCTGGTCTGAGACAGACCTGCAACACTTAAGTGTAAAAATATTGTGTTTCACTGTGGACGTGAAGAATATTAATTGAGCAACTTCTGATGATATGCAGCTTATATTGTGTTGTGTTACTATTGAGATAATGTACTCATTTGTGTACTAGTGTACCAGAACAATGCATTAAGGAATGAGTGCATCGTAAATATGTACTTCGTTCTCTAAAGTTTATTCATCAAAGGGGGATGGGCCGGGGTCCAGGAGGCACACGTTGTTCCTCCATCAATGGGAATTTACTGACTCGCTGTGGGTCTGGTGTTTACGAGAAATCTCTTCCAATTTCGCAGCTAATTCCACCTGACGTGAACGATGATTTACAATTGAGAGAGGAGAGAATGTAGAAAGGAGAGTTTCGAATATACTGAATTTCAAAACTGTGGGAATAGAAAATACAAAATTGAAAACAAATAAAAAAGGACGAACATTTTTGTATGAATTACGTAAACATGCAATAAATAACACAAGAATATTTAAATACAAAGCTAAACTAATACATAAAATGAAGAAAAAAACAGATTTCACTGAAGAGATCTAATATATATTAATGTTTCTCTTTTACAAACACAAATATAATTACCTTTTTATAGAAACATCGATAAAGTCAACATACTAAGTCTCTCGGTACTGGAGGTAAATACCGATGACCCAAAATTGCATGGAGACTCAGAAGGATGGAGAGAGAAGGAAGGAGAGGGGAAAGGAAGAAGAGAGGGTGGGATGAGAGGAAGGAAGGAGAGAGGGAGAGAAGACAAGAGAAAGAAGAGACAGTGGAATGAGAAGAGGGAAGAAAATTGAGAGAGGAAGGAAGGAAGGAGCAAGGACTAGAGGGAGGAAGATGAATAAAATATATCCGTAAATCTCTCCGTTATAATTTCCAAATGCTGGCGATAAAACCGAACCTAAAACACAGGCCAATACGACTCTTCTCATTAGCGAGTCCTTGAGTACCAACCCGGAGGAGGAGGAGGAGGAGGAGGAGGAGGATTCGATAAACGTCTAATTGTAACTGTGAGATGAGATAACGTAGGAAGTTGCTTTTTTATGGATCATTCAGGAGACAAGATGAGTGACACGAGAACAGGTAAAGGGAGGTTTGATTTCATAGGTAATTGAAGGTTTATTGAGGTGCGTTGTTAAAGGAGGATACCTGTAGGTTATATAAAAGGTGACATTATGTAAATTAATGAAGATTTTGAGTATGTAGGTTGTTGGTTTTTATATGCACGATATTATAAGATGAAATGTGTGAGTTATTGAAAGTTTTCCCCACGTAGGTCATTGGAGGTTTCCGGAGATAAACTATATATTCAATTGAAACCACAAATATGTAGGTCTCTAAAAAGTTTATGTACACAGGCTGTCCAACGTTTAAATAGATAGGTACACAGGTAAAATTTGTGATGTGTAAATATTCATATTCAATTGCGGTTGAAGTAAAATTCTAAGGTATACCAAGTAACGGAATTTAGAAAGAGCTTGCTTGAATTTACATTATATAAAGTCACATGAGGGTTAATATCTATATTTCTATGTCTATATATCTCAGTTCTCTATGTCTGTATTTCGTCATTTTAGTTAACTATGTTTATTAACTTTAATATTTTCTTTAAATATTGAAGCTTTACAAAGAGTTTATACTTTCTGTACATTCTATACTGATTATCCTGATAGAGACAAGCGCCACTGCAGGCAAAGAATGAGTAGATGTTCCTCCTTCATAGTTTCCATTAGTGTGTCATTGTAAGGCAGTGAGATAACCAGGTGTTGTTGATTGCCCGTGTTGTTGTTGTTTATTTACAGCAAGACCCGTATGATTTCCCCGCTTCAAAATGGTCCTTAGGGAAATTTGTCATTTTGCTGTTTTAGATAATTATACAGATAGTCTTACACAATACAATACTCTAATTCGAAAAAGAAACACAAATTGTAATTGTACTTTTTAAAGATAATTTCTCTTTCTTCTCTTGTTATTCTATTCTTATGCACACTGTCAAAATTAATTATAAATTTCTTGATAGCCAAGTCATATCTCTTGTCCTGCACATCACAACACCCGAGGCTGGATAACATAAGAGTAACAGAGTATAGACACATTGGGTCGAGAAGGTAAGTCCAGTGTTTCTTGCATAATGACATAGCCTGTGGTGAAACGCTCTAAGGAGTGCAGGTGTGTACACAAAGCATCAACACACTCCACATGTATTCTCAAATACAGAGATACATTACAAACAAACAAACACACACATACAAAATAAACAACAGAACCACAAAAATACAATACACTCATACATACACAGACGCTTTCACTCACAAACTTTAATTATTTGAAAACAATTTAATTTCAAGTTGGCCGGAGGAGTCGAGCAGGAGACATATTGCCAACAATTTGCATTTAGGAAAGTTTTGTAATATAAATGAAGATGGCCGCCCCTAGAATATACTGTAGGTAGGGGAGAAACGGCCTATACTTCGGAGTGAAAATGCCATAGGCCTAGTGTAACGTTGCCATAGGCCTCCTTTAAAGGTACTGTAAGTTTATTATAGGGTTTCTGTAGTTGTATAATTGCAATAGGTCTGCTTTAACGATGCGAATAGACAAGGATAGACTTG